CAAGACTCAGGGAGACATACTTACAAGTTTATTATATGAACAAAGGATATGATAAATGATATAGATGAACAGCTAAATATAGAGATGCACAGGGTGAAGTCTGAGGGGGTCTGAAAGCAGGAGCTTCCAGAACTGGAAGTACAATACCTCAGAACTGGGGTACAATACCCTTCCAGAACCCCGCATGCATTTGCTAAACTGTCTCTGAGCCCCATAGTTAGGGATTTTTATGAAAAGCTTCATCATATAAGGATGATAGAATTTATACTCAATCTCTAGTCCCTCCCCTCTTCTGAAAGGAAGAATAATTGGGGTTGAAAGTTACAGACTTCCAAACATGAGTTAATCTTGCCTCATCTAGAACCCTCCAAGCACTGTCTTTTGAGAACAAAAGAAGCTCATATCCACCAGAAAATTTCAAGAAAATGGGAGCATTAAGTCAAGAATAGAGGCCAATGTAAGACTAAATATAAGAACAAAAGATGAGGGGCTGGGAAGGTGGCTCAGTGGTAGAGTGCTTGCCTTGTATGCTTGAGGCCCTGGGTTCGATTCCTCAGTACCACATAAGCAGAAAAAGCCAGAAGTGGCTCTGTGGCTCAAGCAGTAGAATGCTAGCCTTGAGCTGAAGAGCTGAGGGACAGAGCCCAGACCCAGAGTTCAGGCTCCACAACTGGGGGGGAAAAAGAACAAAAGATGAAACTAACATTCAGGTTGCTCAGGAAAACTCAGGACCTTAGAAATTCTGTCTGAAAATGAGGATAGAAACCAAGTATGTAGTTATCACATCACAATATAGAATATGAGTAATTCATAAAATGAATGACTCTGGCTGGGTGGTTTCTGTGTGTTTGTCCTGGGGCTTGAATTTAGGGCCTTACTACTGTTTCTGAGTTTTAGTGCTCAAGACTAGTGTACTAGCACTTGTGCCACAGCTCTACTTCTGGCTTCTTTTGGGTAGTTTATTGGGAATAAGAGTCTCAAGGACTTTCCTACTATGGCTGATTGTACCATGATTCTCAGATCTCAACCTCCTGAATAGCTAGGATTATGGACATGAACCACCTGCACCCAAACAGAGTTTCATTTTTTTTTCTATTTTCACCACAGATTATTTTCCACAGCCATTTGTTGATTTGTATTTGTGCCATATAACAGTATCGAAGGCCTGCTTAATGAAAATGAGTCATTTTGACTTCCTCAAAGGAATTGAAAATTCAGCTTTGAAAAATTCACAATGGCACAGAAAGGAAAGATTTCATTGCCTTTTTCTGTTCTATTTTAGGTTATCTAGAACAAGGATTATTGGTGAAAGACAAACTGAAACTGATAGAGAAATACAAATCAAATCTCCAATTTAAACTTGATGTCCTGTCTGTGATACCAACGGATTTGCTATATATCCAGTTGGGTTGGAACTATCCAGAAATCAGGTTAAACCGACTGTTGAGGATCTCTCGTATGTTTGAGTTCTTCCAGAGGACGGAAACCAGAACAAATTATCCAAACATCTTCAGGATTTCAAATCTCGTCATGTACATTGTCATCATTATTCACTGGAACGCATGTGTGTACTACTCGATTTCCAAAGCTATTGGGTTTGGTAATGACACATGGGTTTACCCTGATGTTAACGATCCTGAGTTTGGTCGTTTGGCTAGGAAATATGTATATAGCCTTTATTGGTCTACATTGACTTTGACTACCATCGGGGAAACACCTCCTCCTGTGCTAGACTCTGAGTATATCTTTGTGGTGGTGGATTTCTTAATCGGAGTTTTAATTTTTGCCACCATTGTCGGTAACATAGGTTCTATGATTTCCAATATGAACGCCGCGAGGGCAGAATTTCAAGCAAGAGTTGATGCTATCAAGCAGTACATGAATTTTCGCAATGTAAGTAAAGATATGGAAAAGAGAGTCATTAAGTGGTTTGACTACCTGTGGACCAACAAAAAAACAGTTGATGAGAAAGAAGTCTTGAGATATCTCCCTGATAAACTCAGGGCGGAGATTGCCATCAACGTTCACTTAGACACATTAAAAAAGGTGCGCATTTTTGCCGACTGTGAGGCTGGTTTATTGGTGGAATTGGTCTTGAAATTACAACCCCAGGTCTATAGTCCTGGAGATTACATATGCAAGAAAGGGGATATTGGTCGAGAGATGTACATCATCAAAGAAGGCAAACTTGCTGTGGTGGCTGATGATGGAATTACTCAGTTTGTGGTGTTGAGTGACGGCAGCTATTTCGGCGAGATCAGCATTCTTAACATTAAAGGCAGCAAAGCAGGAAACCGAAGAACAGCCAATATTAAAAGTATTGGCTACTCAGACCTGTTCTGTCTCTCAAAAGATGACCTCATGGAAGCTCTCACTGAATACCCAGATGCCAAAACCATGCTTGAAGAGAAAGGGAGGCAGATCTTAATGAAAGACGGGCTGCTGGACGTAAACATTGCGAACGCTGGCAGCGATCCTAAAGATCTGGAAGAGAAAGTCACTAAAATGGAGGGGTCTGTAGACCTCTTGCAGACAAGATTTGCCCGGATTCTGGCTGAGTATGAATCAATGCAGCAGAAACTGAAGCAAAGATTAGCCAAGGTTGAGAAGTTTCTGAAACCGCTTATTGACACTGAATTTTCATCTCTTGAGGAACCTGGAGGAGAAAGTGGGCCAACAGAATCCACTTAGGACTGAAAAGCTTGTCACTAAACAAGAATTGCACCTATCAAGTGATTCTTGTGAAGCCGATATTAAAGGCAAACTGAAATTTGGGAAGAAAAGAAACATCTGGGAATTTTTTTTTTCTGTAAGGAAAACATGCATGGGTGCATGACATATACACCCAGTGTGAGGTATTATGATTAAAGAATCATCCTATCCTGGGACTGTTTTTTTTTCACAAGGAGTAATGTACAAGGATACAGAGTGATGAACTTACCAGTATCTGTATCTTTTGGGGTTTTTCATGTTTGCTTCTTCTATGTAATCATCTTTGTAAAGTGTGTAAGTATCCCTCACTTTTCAGATCACTCTCATTGTTGAGGAATAGGATGTATTCAGAATCACTTGGAATGACTGTGCTCATTGTGTTGGGGATACTATCTTTTTAAAGGATGTAGAATGCAATAAAGTGAAATTAATGATGAAACCATAGTGAATATGATTTCTTGGATTTATTTTTTTGGTGGAGAGTGTAGGATTTTACAGAGCACCAAGGTCATTTTAAAGATCATCATTGTACTAGTCTAGGACTCAGGGTAGTTAAGAGACTCTTTACTGCTAAAAGCATGATAAATCAAACTGCACTCTCCAAATCTTTATTGTAAGTAAATACTGAAGTATATAATACTGAGAATTGTAAAATACTGTAGGAACATTTTATGTTAAATTAAAAGTTCTCATAGTATTATTGCCTGGTAATAGTATGATTAAGGAGAGAAATGATGAGAAAGTTAGAAACAGAGACCTGGAACTTCTGTCAGATGGGCACTAACTGAAAGCTTTTTATAAATGCAGAACCTAAGAGATGTGGATATAGTTCATTGGATTGCGGAGCATGCATCACCTCCTGAGTTCAAACCCCAGCACAGGAAGGAGACACAAAGACCAAGAGAGATAAACAAAGAGAACTACATAGTGTTCAGTCTGTACTACAGACCTACCAAACCAGAAACATGCATCTAATTAGGAGGGAGGTAATGTGAGAATGGCTTTTGCAACAATAAAGGGAGGTAGGCACTTTTTGACAAGTGTGTGGCTGTAGAAGATATTGCTAAACAATCACACAATTCTGTACTGATGAGGGTTCAAAAAATCCATCTTACCACAGATCACTAGTATTGATATGAGATTTCTATCCCTGCCTAGAGTCACATTATTGAACATGACTTCTTGTTGATTTAACATTTCAGATATTTATAAAGCCCTTGAGTAGTCAATACCCATGGTACAATTTATTCTGTTCTATATCGGAATGTCCATCAAATGAGACATTATGGTTTTGGAGTCCTGTATTCAGCTTCTACATTTGTCTGCTTCTTTAATATCAACCAGCAAGTATTTCTTCACAGCAGAGCGAGTGTCCTCAGATGGGCACATCCTATGTCCTATGTAATCTGGTCTCTGCCTGAGACAAATTCTCTGTTTCCTCTTTTCTTCCTCATTTTGATTACCTCTTCTATCTGTATAAAATACCTCTAAAGCACTGTAGAAAGCTGGTAGATACGGTAGATTGGAATGGTTAAGGGTAGATACTTTGCTGGCTCCCCAAGGAGAAACAATTTCAATTACCCTATCAGTGGATAGGTAGTGTTTTGAGTCTGATCTACAAAAAAGACTTAGTCAAAAGCTCTGATTTAATTTAATTTGGGGCAATACTTAGGGTCGAACTAAGGAGTTCGTGTTTTCAAGAGTTCTGGATGATCTTTGATCCCAATTTCTGTGAATCTTGCTGGTGCTTACATTGGGCAGCTGGCAGATTCTCAGATGTGAGGCTTGGGGTAAGGTTAGCTAATTCTGTGATCCTTCCAGGTAAAAGGCTCTGATTGGCTAAGCTGGTGATGAGGGTTCCAGGTTTGACACCTGGACAGAGTGCAATGCAGGGAATCATAGTTGGGTTTTAACTGCATCAAGGAATTAAAAAAGGAAGGACAGGAAATATGCGGCTTTGAGAAAACTCATGTAAAATGCTGGAGTATGTGCAGATGCTAAAAGCAGTAGCATGCCTTTTAGCAAGGCAGAAACCAACCATACCCTAAACAGAGTCCAGACTCTAGTTGGTTGTCAAGATGAACATCATAATGTATTAGGACAAAGACAGGCTTGTCAAAAGGATGAGGGAGTGGAGAAATGGAAGCAGAAAGTTGAGGCTGAGGTTTGAAAATCCTTAATACCTGTATGTGAGAGGAGATGAGAGAGAATATTCTGGTACCCCAAGATGGCAGATCAGCGAGAGAATAGAAACTCAATCACCTTGTCTTTTCCTTTTCTTATGAGTGTTTTCCCTGCCCCTCCAATTGTACTGTAATGTGTATGTAGGAAGAGATTGCTTCATAATTTTGTCTGTATTTTTTCACAATATTAACTTTTCAACCTATAATATGATTCATCTTCTTGCCACTAGGTGGCACTGTTGGCCTGAAATTATAATATTCAAAGCCAGAGGTTTTTCTGGCTTAGAAATTAGAAATGTTTTTCTACTTAGAAATTATAGATAATATATAGATAATATCCAAACCTTAATTCTGACTTGATGTTTATCAGTGACTCATAGCTCCAAAAGTTGCTAAATATTTTATAGACTATAGGAACTCTATATAAGTCAAATGGAAAATAGTGAAACCTAGGCCTTTTAATTTTTAATTTTATTGTCAAGGTGATGTACAGAGGGGCTTCAGTTACATATGTAAGGTAGTGAGTGCATTTCTTGTCAAATTTGTTACCCCTGCCCTCATTTTTTTCCCATTTTACCTTTCCCTTAAACCCCCATCTAAGTTGTACTGTTCATTCCCAACATAATCTAGGCTGTCTTAAGCAAATGGAAATCACTTATTTACTCAAAAGTTGCAAAAACTTTCCAATAGGAGCAGAATTACTACTAAAACTGCTTCCTCTGCCACAGGTGTAGACTAAAAGTATGCATATCTATCATGGTTGTCTGCCTCCAGTTGACAGAACTGGGTTTTGGTTGCAGAATTCAAATTCAGAACCTAGCACTACCTATCAAGACTTTTGGTTTGGTTTAGTAGGCCAAGGTAAACTGCCATTACTAGAACATAGTCTTGAGAAATTTACTTTAGGTACCACAATAGGTTAATTTTACCTCTTACAGTACCATCACTGCCAGACAGAGCTGAAGGTATCAGTCACAAAAATAGAAAATGAGAGGAAAAAAACATTGGAGCTGCATAACACACAAAAAACAGATATTTGACTCCGCTTTACTGAAAAGATCTTGGTTTGGAAATAGTGTAATCATGTACTTCCTAAAACAGTCCCCTCAAATCACAAAGTATTTGTTATAGACATAACAAATCCTTAAGTCATGTATACCATACCCTATATTCACATATATGCATACACATTGCCAAAACTTTTTTCCCTAAAAGTTAATGGTAGCCTGCTATTATTACATACAAGCTAGAAGGATCTTGACCTGTATTGTAGTACAAGGCTACTATGTTACATTTTGAGGTTTCCAACTATATCAGTCTGTTTTCTGATCGTATATATATTATTTCCTCACAAGTATCTCTGAGCTTCATTTCCCAGACAAGTTACCAAATTCCTAAGTGCCGAGACTCTGTCATCTTTGTTGTGCCCACAAGCCTCGTTTGGAACCTTATGCCTGGAAGATGCTCAGTAAATGTGGAGGATTGAGATGGGGCTCTGCATACCCCTCCCACAGTACAACCTCAAATAAGAAAATGTAAAAGCTGCATTTATTCTGTATTGTTGGAGGGCCCTGAAAAATATATAAGGCAAACTTTCGCCATAGCTTGTAAATAATGAGGGGGGGAGGGGACCTGGCACAAGGTCAAACAAGAAGAAGATGACTATTTAGGTGCTTCACTGTAGACTGGTGATCTGACTTGTGCATTGCCATGCTTCTGGCTTTCCTGGTCTGTGGAAAGAGAAGTGAGAACAGAGAAATGCAGACTTTTCAATCCAGATGCCAACAGTACTTTCTTTTATCAATGTGGGCAAGTGAAGGATTGACCATCTTTATGAACTATGGAAGCTTCTATTTCATTATTGTGTTACAAATGTCTTATCCTAGAATTAGAAGTTAAAAACAATCTGTACTCATTTTTATTTTTTAATTTTACACTCTTAGCAATTAAAAAATAGAAATCAGTTTAGGTGCTGGGTCCCTGTGACTCACAGATAGTTATCCTAGCTAGTCAAGAAACGAGATACAGAGATCTGGGTTCAAAGCCCACTTAGGCATATAAGTCTGTGATACTACAGCTTCAAAATGTGGCAGAATGCTGAGATAAAAACCCTGTTCAAGGAAATTGAACCCTTAGATATGTATCTTAATGTTTTTTTCTTTCATGCATGTGTTTCTAATGCACTTATAAGATTATCTCTTTGTTGCTTTGTATGTCCCTCTTCTGGATATTACCAGGCTATTCTCTAGTCAATCTATTCTCCATGTATCCATTATAAACAATGCCTGGTTTAGAAACACATGCTTCTAAATTACAGAAAATGTTTTATATTATTTTTAAAATGATTTCAATATTCTTTGGCCTTTTTGTTATTATTTTGGTGTTTATAAATTTATATGTTTTTATTTTATATTTTGATATATACAAATATCATTTTTTCTTCTTTAGTGTCTTTAACTTTTCTTAAAAAACATCTGTACTGATTATGAATTCTTTTTATAGCATCTGTCATTAACTATTGAATTTCTAAATGAATATTAATATTCTGATGCTTTTATTAAATTTCTACTTCTCCAGGGTTCTCCTACTATTATCTCCATATTAGAAGTCATACTTGCTTGTCTGAGGATCATTGAATATTCATTCACATTAATGAGAGATTAAGTCATTTAGAAACACTTTTGTGTAAACTTATTTTAAGAAATTATGAAATGCCGGTTGCTGGTGGCTCCCGCCTGTAATCCTAGCTACTCAAGAGGCTAAGATCTGAGGATCATGGTTCAAATTCAGCCTGGGCAGGAAAATCCATGA